AACATTGGATTAAAACAATTTCTTTTACCACTTAGCATCAATAAAACCTCTTTGGTAAATTTCCACACTATAAAGTTCTATTTAAAATTCATGTCTAGAGTATTTTTTAATGTCTAGAGTACTTTTTATAAGATAATCAATGAAGAAATCTGCAAGATGAAGACAAAGTTAGGTGTTAACCTTGGACTTGTTTTCCTCTGCTAGACCTGGTGTATCTGTGTCAGGAGGGAATGCCATTGTAATGTAGATATTGTATGGCTTTACCTGTACCAAGATTATTGAAATGTGTTAGTATAAATAGCTATAATTAGCTTTGTAATTTTTTGTTCTAATCACTGTCTGGTTGAAATGAAAATGGCCATTATATTAACCATAAAAATGTAACTTTTTTTGAAAATACTGAGGCACATCTTGCTTTTACCTCCATTTGAAGAGATTCTGCGAATCCCCTGAGAGCAAATTTAGATGCAGAATAGGCAGTGTATCCAAACACACCAACTTGTCCTGCCTGAGAAGAAATAAATACGATCCTCCCTTCATTGTTTTCTTTCATGCCTTTAATGGCAGCCTTGGTGACATTCACACTTCCCAGGAAATTTAAATCTATCATGCGCTGTAAAATAAAATTCATGTAGAAATAATTACCTGCATGTTTAACTTCATGTACCAGGTGTATTTAGTGGACCCCTCTTAGAATTAGTGTACCTGTACACTTTACTCGATGTTTCAAATATTTTTTTTTTATCTCTTCATGGGCAAAAGATCAAACAAGATTATTTCATTAAAGTTTTCCTATCAAACATTGATGGGAGATTGTGTGTACATTTTTACCCACATCAATCCAAGGGTCAATTTATAATAAATTCTTTTCAATACAAAGTGTATAATTTATATGTGTGCTTCAATGAAGGGCATAACTATTACTTTTTCCAGTGTGCTTTCATTCAGAATTCAGAAAAAAATGTATATTGCTAAAAAAAAATTGCATTGGGTAAGAAGACAAATATATAAGGAATGTTAATTGTACAAAAAAGATTGGTATTTGTTCATATTGGGATCCAAAGTCCATACTCCATAGGAATCGGTTTACTACAATGCTGGTAAAATTAAGCTTTATTAGAAATGTCCCAATTGATTTTTCTGATGTTTCCCTTTAACTCAGCCATTAGAAATAATCAGTGGGAGATACCTGAAACTGCTCTACAGATGTTTCTTCAAACCGTCCAGCTATGGCGCTCCCTGCATTGTTGATTAGGATGGTGATAGGTCCCAGCTCCTTCTCTGCCTACAAAAAGAAATTTAATCTGAAAAAATAATCTTGTTTCCATATCAGTGGGTAATTAAAATCAACTGATTTTTAAATTTCTTGTTTGAACTCCTTGCAATAACCAGATTGATAAAAATTTTGTTTCAATTTTAAATTTTAAAGTATCTATCTCTGATACTCATGAAAATAAAGAGTCACAGAAATTTGGTCCTCAACAGTATACAAATAATTTCCTCCTGAACCTGAGTTACTGTACATCTTACCTTATTGACAGCATTCTTCACTGTGTCTGCATCCTTTGTGATATCCACCGAAATTGCTAAGACCTTCTTTAAAAATTATTTTAAAACCAAAAAAAAATTATAAGTATGATGAGATACAGGCATCTTTTCTTGTCAAATTCATCTTTATTTATTGAAAAATGAATTCACCTGTAAATTTCTGTCCTTGATTTGTCTTTCAATCTTTTGTTTAGCTTCATCCAATCTTTTCTGCAAGATATCATTTTTGTCAATATTTTTTTTGTAAAGAATGAGGAGTATAAGTGTATCCATTTAAGTATAACCCTTAGAAGACAATTAAACAGGGTCATACATATAGCTAAATATTCTCAAGAAATCTTTAATTTTGATAAACCCTTTCTTCTAGTAAAATGTACTTGTGAAATCTTGTATTTTAATCAGTCCCTGTTGATTTGTGGGAGACAAAAGTGGATTTGAAATTCCATGGATGAAAAATAGTGCTTAAGGCCAAAAAAAATTAATTAATAGTTTCTCAGGCCAAAAAATTCAATGCGACAGGCAGGCTTTTTTTTTTTTTTTTTTTTTTGGAAGCAGGTTTGACACCTTTTTTTTGTAAGTCTTTTGTGCAGTAAAATGATAATATCTACTAATTCTTAAGTTTTGTTCCCTGAAATTAGTTATAATATGTATTCAACATTAAATAATGTTATTCAAAACATTTATTTAAAAGTTAACTGATAAAATACTTTAGATTTAGAAGGAAAATATTGTTTTTCTAATAAAAACGTCTTTCTTAGCATTTATGAAAAGGGGAATAACTCGATTTTCTTTTTCAACTTGGAAAAATAGAAAATTGAGTTACATGTATTTCCCTTTTCAATATGTCAAAAAAATTGATCAATGCGGCCGTTTTTGAACTGATGCGGCGGTGCCTGAGAAACTATTGATTAATTTTTTTTGGCCTAATTAAAAAGATTTTTTTTCTAGTGGGAGGGTATATAGTGATTGGGATGTCTGATCGTCCTTTACACTTTGGGGTATCATTTAGTGAGCTTAGTGCTCACAGTAGCTCTAGTTATTTTTACCTCATTTCTGGCAATGATTGTGACATTAGCCCCTTGTCTAACTGCTTCGATAGCAAGAGCTTTACCGATGCCACTTGATCCACCAGTTATCTAGAAAATATAGAATATAAATTCAAACTAATTGTTGTAAAATCTAGGGATGGGAATCGCCAAAAAATTTCGTATCGCAGTATATCACGATTTTTTCCCAAAATATCCTGATAATATCATGATATTTTTACAATCAATTTTTACATGGATTTTTCATGAATTGCTAGTATTTTTCTTAAAAATATGCTAGAAAAACAAATTTTCACTTTTTTGAAATTTTTATCTACATTAAATTGATCATGTTTGGATGGTAAAATGCTGTTCTTCTCACCTTTTACGACATTTTTTTTTAGACTTTCTATAATTGTATTTTGAAAGATTGAACAAATAAATGAATAATTTCTGGACTTTACAATATATACATAAATATTGGTATTTAGGTCTCCGTATCACCATACTTATCACAAAACTAAAAATCGCGATATACCGGTATACCGATAAAATCGCACATCCCTAGTAAAATCTAATAATTGACATGTACGTGCCTTCAGATTTGTTATAGCTTGCACAGGTTAAGGTTCATGCTTAGCAATGTCTGTATCAACATGTTGAACTGCTGAACTGTTTATACATGCACAGGTCTGTTCTAATCTCAGCGAGATGTAGTCAGGTCCAGCACAATACCCTGATAAATTAAGGTAAGCTTTATAGCTTTATCAAGGTATAACAAATACCTTGATCAAGGTATTTCATGTAATGAAAATTCAAAAAATTCTTTAAAAAATTAAATACTGAAAGTCGAGTTCTGAGTTGTTGTCAGTAAATTCACCCATGCATGTAAAGTATTCAAACACAAAGAAATCAGTGTGTATAAAAGCATGTCGTGTGAGGAGACGTTCTTTTATGTAGTCTTTTTGATACCAGAGTGCTTTTCATGCACAAGTGGACACACTGACCACAACTCAAAATTCGACTTTTAAATTTATCAAGCTATATACCTTTATCAGGGTATTGTGCTAGACCTGGTAGTAGGGACTAAAAATTTTGGAAGAACGTCGTGGACACCAGAACAAAATTTCTAGTCCTTACGACATCTCGCCAAGATTAAGATCTGTTCATCAGATGATCAGTTCAAAGCACAGGCACTTGTTTCGGTAATGAATGTTTGACCCATAGTATAATAATAATAATATACAGTGTTATAATTATGCTATGGGTCAATACATAAACAAGTGCCTGTTCATAGCCATTCACATACGTGATAATGATACATGAAGCTTACCAAAACATGTTTTCCTTGAATATTAATTTGCTTAGGTGATAAAAGTTTTGAAATTATAAATATTATGAGCAACAGAAAGAAAATAAAACAGTAAAGGTACATAGCCAGCGTCAGCGTGAAAAAAGGTGCTGATTTGAACACCGGAAATAAACACGTGCACACTAAATTTAAAAACCTAGGAGAAGAGAAAGAAAATTCGGAATGACTATAATTCAAAATCTTTAATCATACATTGTTGAAAATGTTTGTTGAACAGAGATAGAGGAAACTTATAACGAATAGCATTCTAATATTTTAATTTTACTGGTTAATCAAAAATTTCCAGTATTGTGAATACTCTTTAATTATTTTCATTTCCCCCTCCACGTGCACTGCTGTTATTAACATATAGCTGTATAATTTTATTGTAATATCTATTGTACTTAAAACAAGATTTTTACTGCCGGAAACAAGAAAGAATTTTTCCTTTTAAATATGGAACTTCCGAAGTTTTTTTTTCTTTTTTTTTTTTGGTGGGGGTGGGGTGGGGGGTGGGGTCATATCTTTTTCGATGTGTGTGTAGGGAAGGGGGGGTTAAATTGAAGATGTTTTTTTGCATGTATGTTCTCACAAGGTTTGGATAACATGTAACCGATTTTTTTCTCCCAAAATGTTTACATTTTTAATATGTCACACAGAATCCAATCGTCACCATAGCTGCTGCGCAGAATTGAAATCTGAAACGAATCGCGTTTTACACCTGTTTCTGAGTATATAACCGTACCCTCAAACTCACGCAATTTGCTCTTTTCATACAACCCGCACAGTAAACAGACATCCCGAGTCTCGCTCTGGTGGGGCGTCTGGGTGTTCTTCGTCCTATGATTTTTAGGAAGGAGGTAGGTTTGATATAACAAAATTTTAAAATATATTTTAAAAATATTTTAGTTAAAAAAATAATGTACATGTACTTGTACATTTCAAAAAACGACGAGAAACGATATTTTTCTGCTTAAAATTGAAATGCATTGTGATATTTTTTTTTATATCATTTGAGTTATGTGTAAAGAAAAAAAAAATGAAGTTTATTTAAAAATTATTTCAAAATTGATATTTAAAATTTAGGACTACGCCAAAAATGCACGGAAAAATTTTCATCTTGATTCTTGCGGTGCTGCCATGTTTGTTCCTGTATAAATCTGATGGTTTGGTCATTGATGAACGTTGGTATTCGCCAGGACGTACGGACTTCGTGTTGGACAACCAATTCTACACTCTTCTAGGTAAAGTATTTTCCCATTCTATAAAGTGTATCAGATGAAATGTAATGGTGGCGATCCTTAAATCCCTACAGAAAACAATTTGGAGTATTTTTTAAAATCTTTTTTTTTTTTTTTTTTTTTTTTTTTTTAATGTTTAACCTTCAAGAAAATACAAGTAGTTCCCTGTAACTGCATTTCAATATTCAAGCCAAAGCTTAAGGTACTCAAAATGCTCATAAAAATGTGTTGAAAATGTGAAGATTTTATATACAGAAAGGAGAAGTAATTCCAAACTCACGGACCTTAGGAAAGCTCAGCTAACCCGCGTCAGTGAACAAGGCGTCAACAAATACAATGTCAAAGGTGACGCAAATGACGCAGCGATGATCTTTTTTAGCCTGAAGCCAACAAGTGTAACTTATGTGAGTTTTTTTTCTTCCTTGGTATATTTTGTCAGAAATTATAATCTTGTAGAAGAGTGATTTGATAATCTAAATATAAGATTTTTAACATGTACCCCCCCCCCAAAAAAAAATCGTAGTTATGCAGATTATCGAACAAAGACATAATTAATTTTAGTGGAGAAATATCAACGAATATTTGAATTTTAACCAATTTATAACCCGCTAATTAATTTTTTTTCCACATTTGAAACTTAAGTAAATGATATTTCATATATTTCCAACAGAAAGTTCCATCGATATATCGGTGTGGTCGGAGACGCTGCAGCAGAAGAAGGTACAGGATAAGGAGCAGATATAGGCGGAAGTACGTGAACAGAAAGAGAAGGGCGCGTAAAATGAGGAAATGGGTCCGAAAGTATGGTGGTCAAAAAGTAAGAAAATATAACCGGAAGATCGTGCGAAAATCAAGAAAAAATGGTCGAGGAAAAGTAAGACGGAAACATAGAAAATCTGGTTATAGACGAAAGAGGCGAAAAGTTAGAAGAAGCAGAAAAAGGTCCAGAAACGGGAGAAAGAAATGGAGGAAGAAATTAAGAAAAAACAGGCGAAGAAAATATAGAAGCAAGAGAAAGAGATGGGGGAAGAAATCAAGAAGAAGCCGACGTAGGCGGTCTAGGGGAAGATGGAGATCCGGAAGATGGTCCCGGAAGTACAAAAGTAAATATTTCGAGGCCTCCGGAAAGGTTGGTGTGTACAGAGTATCGCTAAAAATAAAACCGTACAGTACCCAGATCGTATTTCTTTCGCCCAGAACAAGGTCTCTCTACAATGGCAGTGGAGGCATAACACGCATCTATAATTTCAAGCCGGCTCGAGTATCTTGGTGGCGTTTGATAAAATTGTTTTGAGAGTTAATCATTAAAGTCATTCGAATATTTCAGCAAATTTGATTTTTTTTTTCGAGGACGTACATTTGTACGCTTGCGATGCATTTGTGATTTTGTTTATTCAGAAACAACATCCTGTATAAAGTCAACAACGATTTAAAACAATTTCAAAATAAATATTAATGCATCTGAATATTGCTGTTTTTGTGGATTTTTTTAAAATATAAAGTTGGAAATTTTTAACTTGTAAATTATTGATAATTCAGTACTTTCTTTGAAGATTTATCTTTAGGCGTCGGAACTAGACAGGGGGGGGGGGGGGGGGGGGGGAATTGTTGTTATATAGCACTTCACTTTCCTTTGTAGCAAAATTAGACAACTTAATCATGGGAATTGAAAATACGGGCTTAACCGCAAAATAGCATGTAGTTTCAAATTAGTACAATCAAAAAATAATATTTGAATTTTCTACAGTTTCTATATCAACAAATGTTATTGAACACGGAAAGAAATGTTAGTGTATCTTCAAATCCATCGTCGCAAACCACGGCCAAAATGTACGCTCCTCTCCCATCTGGAGAGAGCTATATACAAGATTTACAAGATTTTATCAATCCAATTTATATATGCGGACTCCGGACCGTGGCTTGAGACGATGCTTCAAATCATGGCAAGACAAAAAGTGAAATTAAAGTTAAATGTATATGTATACTTTTGTCGTTTTTGTTCAGTTTTATTGGTACCGTACCTTAAAATTTTATAAGTTATTATATCAATTGCAGATCAAAATAATTTAACAAAAGATTTTTAGGTTAAAACCCCCTTAATATGAAAGTCTTGCAGAAAGATGCAACAGTCTATGATCAAATAATAAACTTCATGTTATAAAATCCCTATTTCTCATATAGGCTGAAAAAATACATATAAATTAATAATCTTATAAAGACCGCCCCTTTTCGATAATGATATCTGGTTGACCAAATTGGATATATTAAAACTACAACCCATTCTCATCATGATAAAGGCAAGTAGCAACGGGGGGGGGGGGGTATGGGGGCCTGGCCCCCCACTATTTTTGCCAACATTACTTTAACTATTGGAAATGTTCATTGAAAGGCTGGTTGCCCCCCCCCCCCCCCCACACACACACACCTTATAGTACACTACACTAAGTTAATATCAAGGAAAATTTAGTATAGAAATCAGAGAAATTAGTACCGAAAGTAATTGTCATTTAAAGAAGTTGACCTCTATCCCCCCCCCCCTCCCCAAGAAATATGATTTTCGAGTTTGGGCAATTTTCCTCTTTTTTTTTTTTTTTTTTTTGCATGTCAACTTTTTCACTTAAGTAATTTTTTTCTGTGGCTGCCACCTCCCCTTTCAAAAACGATGCTACGTGGCTGTGATCTGTGCGATAGTAAAATCATAAACATTAAGGGATCTATTTATAGTACATATGTACCCTTTAATGCATATATGACACCGATGTATTAGTTGCATTATACTAGTTGGTATTTAAATCACATCGATACAAGTTCCCAGGTAGTCTAGTGGTTAGGATTCCGCGCTCTCACCGCGGCGGCCGGGGTTCGATTCCCCGTCTGGGAAGAGTTTTTTTCTCCCCCATCCTTGTTTCCTTGTTGAGATTTGAGGAACTAATGTTGATAAGGATACATTCACATTTTCGCATCTCAAGCCTACAAAAGATGTTACATACGTTGGTTTTTTTTTTAAAAATAACTATTTCTTGCAATCAAATTTTTTTAATTTAGAATCAATCGAAATTAGAAATTTCTATAATCGTGTATAAAATGTAAAACTTTTTTCTACAACTTTTTTTAAAAATAAAAATCATATTGAACAATCAGTTACATTTTCACAATTTTCACTAAATTTTACTGATGGTTTGACAAAAAATAGATATTTAATAAAAGAGACTTCACTTCTTTATTATTGAGAGAGACATCTATAGCTATTTAAGTAAATATTTATTTGAATTTTGAAAGAAACTATGTTTAGATTACTAGTATTTTTCCTTAAGCTTGATATTGATTATATTATATTCAATGGTAATTTTATGCAGTAAGAGTGATGAATCCTTACATGATATGGACCAAAAAATCTATATATAGCGAATGACTAACTTTGCAATAGATTAAAGTACTCTTTTTATTTAATTAAACCAAGAAAAGTTAATGAAGGCAGTCGAACGGTCATATACCCTATGTTGAAAATGAATTGATAAACTCATATATGTACAACTTTCTTTGATATAATTTTCTCAAAGATCGCCGGACCAAAAAATATTTTTCAATAGTGTTTAGAGCTCCCCTTCAGGACATTAACCTGCTTTATAGAAAATTTAATAAGTGTTTAAGGTGTACCGCTTTCATTTCAAAACATTCATTAAAAAAAAAATCAGTGAGGCAAAAAGCCAGGCTTATCGATTTTAAGTATGGATCGCACAGCGCGTCAGGTTCATGTGTGCAGCATCGAGTTTGTTGTGACTGAGACGAAAAGAGCGAAGTATTGACACTCTCAAATTTTCTTCTGTCATTTTTGGACAGGGTCGGAATATTTGCGTTTTCAAATGCATTGAATGCCAACTTCATTAAATTCAAACTGAAGTAATTTCAAATGAACCGGAGTTGTTTCGAATTCTTTTGATAGTCACAATAAATAGATAAATAAATAGATAAATAAATAAATAGATAAATAAAAAAATAAATAAATAAAAATTTAAAATAATACCGGTAAATGTAGATTTAAAAAAAAAACCGCAATAATCATTACAGGTTGAACTCATTGGTTTCCTTCAAACCAGAAAGTTTTGGATAAATGGTCCAATGATCGATACTATACAATTATTGCTTGTTTTTGAGGTCAATACAATGATTTAGCCATCTGAGGAGTACAATATTCACCGAGCCCGAAGGGCGAGGTGAATATTGTACTTTGAAGATGGCTAAATCATTGTATTGACCGAAAAAACAGCAATAATTGTTTTATTATATGATTCACTGATAAAATGATATAACTTATTTTATTAAGTCCTAGCCAAATACATGAACGATGCAGAGTTAAAATGTGAATAAACCTTACCGGTCGTATCAATTTGAAACGTTTTTTTTTTTATATCAATTTTAGTTGCCATGAAAAAAATATATGTCATTCTTTTTCATAGGATAGATTTTGAAAGGAAAGAGTATTGTTAGTGAAAACTGACTGCCAAAAAGTAAAACAAAATTGTTCAGTAAAAGTGTTGGAGGGTGTCCCTGCATCCCCTCTTACCACCCTCACCTAAAATATATATTTGCTTATGTTTTGTTTACATGAAAATAAAAATCATAGTCGTTTAAATAGCTTTCTAAAACAATTTGTATCAATTTGGAATCTCCAAATCTATTTTTAGATCAATGTAGAGGAAATAAATCCTTGTATTGACCTGGAACGTCACGTGCAGGTCAATACAACGTAATATTTTTCTAACATAGTTTGATCTCAGCCAATCAGAGAGATGGAAATTATTCAATCATATAATAATATATATGATAAATTTGAAAGCTATTTATCTAAGGGTTTTTTTTTTTTAAATATAATGCAAAAGGTGATGACATACATGTATACCTAATGGGACAGATATTTAATTTTGAAAAGTTCGCAAAATAAAACTATGGAGGAATGGTTCCCCCACAAACCAAAACAATTTATTAAATAGTTTATACATAACTTATATAATCTTCAAAAGTAAGTGTAGAAACTGCAGCTAAGTCAGAACATATTTGTGCATAGTTTTGAATAACTACAACCAAAAACAGTCAAAATGTGGGAATTTAAAAAAAGACATGCAGATGCCTGTTAAAACAGACCTGCATTTTAAGGATCAGGCATTAAATAATTGTAGAATTACTCGATGTATGTGGGTGCCCTAAATTTATATAATTTCTTCGACTTTGTGATATTTAAGAATGTTAGAAATAATGGGTTACAACAAATTATAATTCAGGACATATATACCGGTATATGAGATATTTGTGCTTCTCGGCTTCCGTAATTGTACTCGGTTTTCCTGTTTACGATCACGATGTTAAGTTTTCCGTAACGCATCAAAATAGCAACAAACTCAGTAAGATGAATCAAAAGCTCTGCTTTGCAAAAGCATAATGCAGGCTTGTAGTCTTCCTGAGAATGATGAGGAAAAGTTTTATAAGATAGAAGAATGGATGATCAAACCTAAGTCTAGAGTTGTTTTTGATTGGGACAATACCCTGAAAATATACCATAAATCGGATAAAACTTTATCATCAAGAATATCCAAAGAGCAACTGATCAGTTGGAAAAGAGACCTGTATTGTGAACTTTTCATCATAAGCGCTATTAGACCAACAAGAATGAATTTAGAGACGATTCTTTTGGAAGTTGAGAAGTTGAATCTTACGGAGGTATTTTCGTGCCATAATGATGAAATTGTTGTCGTTCCGGGAAAGTACGCTAAAAAGGGATCAGTTATTATTTGTGGGTACGACAAAGCGGAGACATTCTTAGAACTGTGTCATAAAAGTAAACCGAGTAGTGATGTCATTTTCTTTGACGACGAATTTGTTAATATTTACAATTTTCGTGCCCTAGTTCCAGGGAGCCACTGTTACCTCATTAGCTGAAGTGATTCCTTTTTTCAGGATTATTTTAATCTATAGTTATCCTATAGATTTTTAGCAGATCTTTTTCCATGTACATGTATATAAAACAGAGAGTATTCATAACTTTATTATTATTTTTTTTTTCATTTTAGTAAATGTATTGACGCCATTGTGTTCGTTTAAAATTAATAGCCATTTCATATGTACATTATATTTATATATTTATTTTTGAAATCCATGTATATTTCTTTTTTAAATCTTTATTCAATTTTTAAATCTTTATTCAAATTTTTTTTCTTTATTTGGTTATAAATAGCACATTGTTAATTAATTTTTTTGTTATAATTTATAATTTTAGTAAAAATCACTTACCAATGCGATCACTCTACAGATTTGAATTCTGAACAATCAGGAAGCAGTATAGCAAAATAGTTTTAGCCAATTTCGGCAAAAGTTCTTTTATGTTTGACACTAATTGCTTAACTAACGAAGGTGTTAACTCAATTACTTATCTGTCCGCATACGCTTTTTTTATAACAAAGACGGATTAAGA